GGGACACATCGTGTCTCAAAAAGGAATTCGCCCAGATCCCGAAGGGATTGAAAAGGTGAAGAACTGGCCTGTACCTCAGTGCGTGAAGCACGTACAGCAGTTCCTCGGACTGGCAAATTACTTTCGAAATTTCATTCAGGGCTATTTGAAAATGGCGACTCCATTGACAGACTTGACCAAACAGAATGGCAAGTGGGAGTGGACGTCGAAATGTCAGTCAACATTTGAGCACATCAAGGAGTGTTTGACCACGGCTCCTTTGCTCAAAATGCCAGATCCTGAGAGAAACAGCCTTTCGTGCAAAATGTCGGTAAGGCCCGAAAGGCTGCACTTGTGTGCAATATCGCGATTATGTGGTTTTTTGGGCTAAACGGTTGTGCTCAAGATTCGCCGTCAGAAAACAAGGAAATTTATGCCCAACATTGCCATTTCTGAGTGCACAAAAAGAGAAGAGGATGCATGTTCTGTTGTTTTCCGTGACCCCCTTACCGACATTTTGCACGAAAGTTAGTTGAGACCATTTGAGGTCATCGCCGATGCCTCACAAACTGCTGTGGGGGCGGTCCTGATGCAGGACAATCACCCTATTTGTTATGCAAGTCGAAAGTTCCTCCCAGCGGAGTTGAACTACATCGTGACAGACCAGGAAGCTTTAGCTTCGGTCCATGCTGTCCAGTTGTGGAGATGTTACCTTGAAGGAACATGCTTCAAACTGGTAACGGACCACTGTCCGTTGACCTACCTTAAGTCACAACCACAACTGAGCCGCAGACAGGCCAGGTGGTCAGAAATCTTACAACAGTTTGACTTTGACTGGGAATACCGCCCAGGGCGAAAGAATGTGGCTGATCCACTCTCTCGCATTCCTCCATCGCCCGATGAGCAGGAGGCTAAGAGGAAAAGTCAACTAGTTGTATGTGGCTTAAGAGTAAAACATAAGCGGGGCAGCCAAAAAGAGGCAACTGAAACGGTAGAGGCTAAAGATCTAGCCTCCAGGATCCGTCAGGCCTATGGCAAGGATCCCCAGCTTGCGTCTGTTAGACAGCAGCAAGACATGCGCTGTACAGACGGGTTGTGGCTGCGAGGCACTCAGGTGTATATCCCTGAGTCTCCCAGTCTGCGGACTGAGATCTGCCAGTTGGCTCATGACCATCCAAGTGCGGGGCACTTTGGTCAAGCCAAGACCCTGGACTTGGTCCAGCGGCATTATTGGTGGCCAGGAATGCGACGAGAAGTACACCAGTACGTCGATACTTGCCTGGTTTGTCAACAGGCTAAGTACCCTCGTCATAAGACCCCAGGCTTATTACAGCCACTGGGCATTCCTGAGGAGCCATGGACAGAGTTGTCCATGGACTTCATTACACAACTGCCAAAAACTAAGGGAGGTCATGATGCTATCGTCGTGTTCGTCAATAGACTGACCAAAATGGTCCGCTTCGCAGCCACGACCACTGAGCTCTCCGCAGAAGGAGCAGCTGACCTGTTGGTGCAAAATGTGATAAGGCACCACGGTCTCCCCTCTCAAATAGTGTCCGACAGAGACGTTCGGTTCACTTCCAGGTTTTACCGGTACCTGGCCGAGAGGTGGAAGATTCAGCTCAACATGAGCATTGCGTACCATCCACAGACGGATGGCCAGACCGAAGTCATGAATCGGATTCTGGAGGATTACTTACGCAGCTATACGCATTCTGACCATGACGCGTGGGATGAACTGTTAGCCATGGCCGAGTTTGCAATGAACAACTCGAAAAACAGTTCCACCCAAGAGACCCCGTTCTATCTGAACTACGGGAGGCACCCAAAGAGTCCCTTAGCTCTTGGTGTGCAAATTCGGAAGCCTTTAAAAGGCTATGACAATCCAAATGCCCGCGGCTTAGCAATAGCCATTGAAAGGGCACAGCAGCCTTATTTGAGGCAGTCCGGTATACCCCTCGTGGAGGGATTACCAGCAGTGACACGATTTGATCACCGTGTCCAATCAGCGCTGAAAGAGGCCAGGGCGTGCTTAGAGAAAGCACGAGATAGGCAGTCAAAGCATGCTGACCGCCATCGAAGAGAGGTGTCGTTTAGTAAAGGAGATGACGTCCTCCTTTCGACACAGCATATTACTCTCAAACACCCTGGAACTCGAAAACTATTACCGAGGTGGATTGGGCCCTTCACCATCCTCGACCGGATAGGTTCTGTCGCATATCGACTAGAACTCCCGGAAAGCATGCATAGGATACATCCAGTATTTCATGTATCGAAGATTAAGCCTTATAAGGCAAGTGGCAGAGTACAGCCACCCCCAGTACCTATCGAGATCGAAGGTGAACTGGAGTACGAAGTTGAATGTATCCTTGATAAAAGGATTAAAAAGCATGGGAGACGCAAAAACTATGTTGAGTACCTTGTCAAATGGCTGGGATATGGACATGAGCATAACAGCTGGGAATCAGCAAAGTCAGTTGCAAATGCACAGGAATTGGTTCAAGCATTTGAAAATGGCAGAACACCTGTGATGCGAATGCAAACTGCATGAAGTACGGGATGTACATACTGAAACATGCTCATGTGTGCTTATGCTTTTGACAGGTTCTCTTGCGCTGGGCCCAGAAAAACACTGGGTATACTGCCCCCCGTGCAAGGACACAGTTCGCCCACATGAACGCCATGTCAGTGAACATCCTCAACGGGGAGAGGTTGGACACCGCCGACCCCTACGTGCCATTTCCCCGTGCGCCTAAGCGTGCACGCGGACGTGGGCGACGGCGGGGTGCCGCACCGGGCCGATCTGTACCGGCGTGGGCTTTTGGTGGTACTCGGCATCGTGGTCGCCGATGAAAGGCCGGGAGGTCAAACATTTCCAGCCACTTGGCTGAGGAAGAGTTTTAATGAGGGTTGTAAAGGCCGGGACGGTCATGTAAAACAACCACTCTTTCTCTTCATCCAAAATTGTTTAGTGTGTTGTGTTTTGTTAACTGGGCATGTGGCAAATCGCACAGCCAGTTCCACCAACATACATACAATGTTTCTGCTCCCGTATTCACTTATACTGGGACGAGGACGCCCCTCTCCCTGAGGGGGACGAATGTTACGCGCACCAGCCTGATGTGGGAGACGTCCTACTAATGGCCCTTGGTGTGGGGGACGCCCTGCCCAAGGCACGTACTATTCCTCACCCAATGTAACCTTTATCCATATTAGGATATGGGAGTAGGAGGGGTGGTCCCGCCTAGGTGCCCTGTAAGGACCTAGGTGCCCGGCGAGGCGGGTCCGCGGCTCAAAGAGGGCAGGAACCCCACACCCACATCCTATTCGTATCAATCCATTAGGGAACTACCATCATCATTCGCATGAAGCGACTTGCATGATCATCCCAGTGGAAGGCACGGAGGCAGCTGTCACACTGCCTCTTGTGGGAGGCGTTCACGGTGGCGGTCAAACGATTTGCGGTGTCCAGCTTTTGGCTCAGGAAAGGGATGCGGAGGGTTGCACGGCTGACGGTGGCTCTGCGAGAATTTGGTTTGAGCTGATTAGGTAAAACCACGTAACATGCATCGTGCCAAACTTAACATGAGCAGTTTGAGCCGCAGAGGCTGGCATGTTTGGAACAAAAATGTCGCAGTCACGAATAAAGATATAAAGTTTACCTACCAGATTTTTGCATATTCTACAAGTTCTAGCAAGAGCTGATCTTCCCCTCCCATATGTTTGTTTGTCTGGTGGCGAGTCTCGAGTTTGCCGTCAAGACAATACCATCTCTGTTGGTGCTATGACTGTTACATATGCCGATTATCCCCAGGGTGAAATCCCAAGCCCGCGTGAGGGGCGGCTAGAAATGGCCACGGATGAAGGGCAGCTGCCCATTGTGGCCTGGGAAAAAGAATTCGATGGGGAAGGAGATTATTAGAGAACGTTTCTCATGAAGCATTCATCAGTGGAAAGGTGCGAGTATCCAGGTGCATGGTGCGCAACACAGGTTGCGGGCAAACATGGGCTTGTTGGCTTAGTGGCAAAGGTTGGTGCGCCTAAAAGCGCACCAGCAACCTTGTTGATAAAATGTTGTGCACTATGTGTAGTTGGTTGGAGATGAAATGAGACATGTGCCAGTGCCGCATGCAGTACTATTCTCCGCGAGTAAGAGGATCCAGCGGCCAGAGTGCGGCATAAAGCCTCACGCTATATTTCACAGTTAAGATGTCAAACATGCAGAGTAAACGGAAGCCTGCTGGCGAAGAAGATAAAGTGCCAAAGTACTACATGGCACAACCTAAGCGAGGAGCACTGCATGCTTTGCGTGCTTTTCTGCAACCTCATGAGCTGTACATGTACATGAGGAGTACATCAACATGGTCAGTGAAGCGCAATTCGAGGCATTTGTGCACCTGGTGACTGCGCCATCCGATTGGCCCATCAGTGGCCTACAACAATCCGTTGTTGGTCGATCTGAGTTGCATTTCAACGGACACCATGCCCATGTATTTTTAGTTTCGGCAATGGCAAAACAAAACAATGTGTTACAGAATGATCGTGTTGTCACCGGTAGGCGTTCTGTCCCCTCAGTTCCAGTCCTCCATTCAACTCACGATCTAAAATGCACGAGCTCTGTGCTGCTATCCTTCGAGGAGATTCTTGCTGGCATCACCCTGCCATCTCTCAAATCCTGCTGCAGGAGCGTATGCAACTCATTCTATGTAATGATATTTCCGTCATGTATATTCTGGTGAGCAGGTAGATAAATGTCGCTCACCTCCCAACCCCACCGGTGGGGTACCCCACCGCAACAATGATATGCGAGATTAATTTTCACGGTCAAATGTGAGACTCGACAGCTACGCTATGATGTGAAATCGCACTTTCTGGTACGCAATGGATACAACCCTCCAAATCCCATTGAACTCGGTGTCAAAACCCTCAGTGAAAAATTATGGTATTTCAATACCATTAAAGTCATTGAATCAGGAAGCTTTGCATCATGTACAAGCTTTCTCTTGAAGTCTTTTCCGGCTTCAGAGCTCATGCTTGTGATGCCCGTCAACATCAATGTGTTGCTGTATCCATGGGGCAAGGTCCCTCAGATCCAGAAAGATGTCGGGTTTGGCTGAGGTTCCGCACGGTGCACCATCAATGTTGATTCCAACGAGGAAATCAAGCTGCGGGCTGCCACAGTCCACATCGTACCCGGGCATATCAAGCAACATCATGGGTGATCCTGAATCCGCTGCACCAAAAACAGAGCCACATATTTGGTGATTATTCACGTGACATATGCTTCAGTGAGCGTCAAATTGCATATACATAGATGCAGGCGTGTGAAACACGTAGCCACAGACTCCAGCACCTGAAGATAATACATTACTTGCACTGTGAACGTGAATATTGCAACAATTTGATACAAATGTGGTATCCTTGTTTTACGAATAGTGGGGAGAATATCGGATTTCGCTACTTCAATTCAAAGTGCCCATACACTTCCATTTTGGTGAAGGTGCACGGGCTCTGGCTTATCGTGTGTGGACAAATGAAATCCAGGGACTTATCTTTCGTTTTTAGCTTGAAGCAGAACATGAAGTAGATAAAATGAATAGTGCACAATGGGGTTATAATCAAAGCATGCCTGAATGGTTTTATTGTTGCGCAAGCAAATTATGTATGCTGCCGGTTGAATTCTACAGAAGTCATCGCTAACTATGAACACCCTTTTCGCCCTCACCTATGCAGCTCGCCTGCCCCTCCTGTGCGAGGCCGCACACCAAGCCTCCCTGAATTTCCCCTGCCCAGAGCGTGGACCTGTTGCAATGTGTGCCATCTAGAAACTGATGGTGCTCTACCTTCAGGGTGCCGAATATGCTTTGACCTAATTTTGGACCTCCTGGATCGACGCCCCACCCGGCAACGTACAACATCAGTCCGATGCGAAGGCCCACATGATCGGTCAAGATCTGTGGCACATGTCTGTCGGAACTCTGGCTCAGGCGGAGAAGAGCAACATTGAATGGCGATCGCTGGCCAAGTGCAGGCGTCCATCGTTCGTGTATATGGGTGGAACTTACCATGGTCACCTGAAAATGCCACGCACACAAATATTCTCCCTTCATCCTGCTAGTCATAGTCATGCAGGCATTCAAAAACGCGGAACCGCCGACCCAGGTGTGCCCAATGAACCCACTTTGTCAACTGTGGCGGGTATGTAATATCATGCACTAAGTTATGTCAAACTTTCCAGAACAGCAGGAAAGATGTAGCAACATTTAATATCACAATGCCACGTAACTGCAGCACCTATGGGGTGATGTGGTGTACACATGGGTCATACTGAAGCGATATTGATTGTCGCATTGACCGTTCGCGCTCGGCCCACACTCGGTCGCTCCCAGGCATGGGAAGGGAGGCTGTAAGCAGATGCATTACAAGAAAAGCACATTAACCCAAATAGTATTCGCTGGAAATGTCCCCAGTAAGTGATCACCGTTCCCATGCTCACCATGTTTTTTTCACAGTGTTCATTGTGTCTAGTCACACCATACTTAACACCATTCCCCTTATAATTACTTGCCGCAATTTCCTCGCCCTCGCAGTGATACTATGGATACACACCATAAAGTTTACTCTACGTACGGGAAATTGACTCTCACAGCAATGTATACTGAGTGCTCTGAGAAACATGCAATTTGTTTTGCTAGTTGTTGCACATGTTTCTGTATGACAAACTTTGGGCTCGTGTCCCAGAGATGTGGCAATCCTCACACACTATATTACCTGCAATCATTACTACTTCATATTAAAATATTGTATGCATTTATTTTCCATTGATATAATCCGAAATTTCTTGTGCTTCAACGAAATCCAGCGCAAGGTTAACATACTACAATTGCTTTGGGATGGCGGTCTTATTGCTGGCAAAATGACCACGAAACCTGAGTTTTTGCAGCAAGAAATGGTTACCATGTGGCGCAGATTGTTTGATCACAATGTTCTCAACACATTGGACCAAGGGCCAGCGCGAGTCAAATTGGTTTATTCAGAGATCTCTGGACCGTGTACCTGGACCTCATCGTCTCGACCATCTACACTAGTGGCGCCTATGTGCACCACAGGCCGCGGTCCCGCCGAGTATGGAGACTGTGGGTAGACGCAGTGAGCAGCTGTTAGCACTACCCACTTATCCACCAGAATCCCTGTGCACACGTGCTCGCGTGTGCCATGCCTGCGAATCGAAGCCAAGTAGGGCAGACGTCCCTTTTGTGGCTGCATCACTCTCTGCACCAAAAGACTTAGAAATAAACACGCTGTTTGCAAAACCGTTAAAAGTCGCCAAAATCGCCAAAAATCTGACTTCGGGTGTATCAGCACATGTGAGAGCTTGCTGAATATCGTCCCAAACATGAACATAATTTTCATGACCACAGTATTGAAAATGCGCACTGCTTGAAGAAACATCGCACTCTCAAGGTGACCTACCTATTCCACCTGTGATTTGGAAAGCCTCAACAACGCCAACGTACACAGTAGCAAAGTTTCAAAGTTACTTCCGAGTTTACAGTCCTCAAGTCCCAAAACGACTACGAACTCTGACACTCATGGCGTGGATCCCGAGTATCCATGCCTGGCTATCCTTTGAAGATCATGCCTACCTCGTCTCTTGAACCACCCCGGTGGCGAAGGGGGTTTAGTTCGGCCAGCATTGTGACGCGCACTGCTATTCAGTGAACAGGATCGCCGTTGTTCTGGTGAAGTCAAATTGGGACCCAAAAAATATCCACACTAATAAAAAGGGCTGAATAACACTTTTGTGAACACACATAAAACACATTTCATCAAAGTTCTGCACGCTAAGAACCTAAAAGTAGCCCAAACCCGTAAACTTTGTACACGTTTGAACACGCATTATTTGGACCTAATTTCCTAATGCCACCAGGACTGATTCTCGCTGTCGCAGTTGTTGCATTCCTGGTGAGCGCTCACCGCGCGCTAGCGCGTGTTATCTACATATCCCCATTTGCAAGAATAACAACGCGTTGAAATGGCCGTCGCTAACTCAACCCACAATTGCATGAACTGTCTATGAGACTGCTTTGACCCCTTTCCGACAAAGCTTTAGGACAGCATGAAAGTACAAACCGAATGCAAGGATTTGTTGTGAAACCCATACTGCTCATAAAGTTCCATAACGAAGTTTAGCCCTGCACAAACCAAAGTGGGTTTCGGAGGATGGCTTCGCAGAGGAGGCGCATTGTGCATTGGGCGGCCAATGCTATTGCGCTTGTTCGCTTGTGCAGGATGTCTGCGTGTGGTGACCAGAGATTTCTGAGGATAGAGATAGCCAGGAATCGCCATTGGCTGTTGCCAAATCGCATCGAATAATCCACCAGGCCTTGGCAGGGCGTTCCCTTGCGTAAGCTCTTCCAGTGGATGTCCAGCTTCTGTGCCAGATATTCATGTCTAATCGGCTGGCATGCATGCCTGCATCGCCCCATCGTCGGCAAATTACAAACGCTCTTACGTTGAACCGCCTGCGCATTGCCTCTTGAGCGAAACCAGTCACGTGGTCCGTGACACAATCGCGGTCATTTGCCTCCACGTGGACTGGTCAGCAAACAATACTGGCAGCGATATCAGCGACTGATTGAAAGATATGCTGCCATGGCGTAATGTTTGCTTGCAGTGAAATGGTCAAACCAATTATGCCAGGTATGGAAACATGCTGGCTGGCGTCACATCAGCTTGCAATGTATGGGCACTGAGATAGTGCAGCTTGGAGAAGATTCACTGCTGCTGATCCGCTGCAGTAAATCTTCTCCAAAATGCGCCATCTCGGTGTCCGGAGATGCACTTGATGTACTTGATGCACTAGATGTACTACGATGTACTCATGAGTACAAGCGCATTGACTTTGGCCAGTGCTGTTTTGGCATTCCTGAAGACCTGATCGAGCCCCGCTGGTGCTCGTCCCAAGACTGGCGAGTAACAAGAGCCAACCGATATTTCGGTCTGCACGTGGCACATTGAGCCCAGTCTGCAGCTGATCAGGTCCCACAACCATTGCACATTCGTTCTCAGTGAAAACTGTCAAAGCCTCTTTAGGCTTCCTTTCATGGCACAATCGTACATATTGGGCCACGTGCTGTCAATTACCAAAAAATTGGCATGCATTTTCACCATGATAGAATGCGCCTATTAGGAGTAGAGAGGATGCTGTCCATCACTAACAAAGTCGTGCAACTTATTCACAATCATTGTCGAAGCCCCAATGTGGGAGGGAGCTCCCAAATGGGACAATGTTGATGCTTTGTCCCGAAATGATGGTCCAAGCAACTCCATTTCCATGGGCAAGTGGGCGCATTGATTCGTCCTGGCCGAGTTCTCAACTCACCATGCAAAGGGGTGCCGAATTAACACGGTCAAAAGCAATCCACACCTCTCGTACGTGGCTCACCGGAACGTGATGGGCTGTACGGTCCGATGGCAGGCAGTCACCAGGGCTGACTGACGTCATCTCACTCCAGCAGTGCGATGAGCATGATGCGAAGATGCAGCAGTGGGAATGCTGCAACCTTGGTGCTGATGCCAGCCTCTACATCCTGAGTGCCAAGGACGACGTGTTCTGGCAACCTTCTAAAGAATCCTCAAGCAGCCCCATCCGCATCCTTACCACCTGAATGGCGGGCATGTCCGGCTGGCCCGCCTCAGGCAATGCGCTTGCATGCTGCCAATGATGGCAGATGCCAATTCGTTACTTTCAAGACTCGCGGTAGACGATAAGTGGCCTGCCTGCTTTTGGAGTGGTTGAAAGCGTGCAGCCACCGAACGGGGTGATGAGGAAAAGCTCTGCGGCCTGGGTGTTGGGTGAATGAGCGGGGCAGGGGAGGAACTGCAGTTTGGTGATTCCAGTGGATCGATGCGCAGCCCACACGGCATGGAAGTATTTCTCACTATCGCTATCCAGGGAGAGGGCTTGAAGCTATTCGCTGAGTGCGATTTCTCATAACGGTTGTGCTGGAATATTGTAAAGTTGCGCGCACTGGATATGAGAGGTCCCAAATTCCTTAATCATGGCTGTGTAACAGCGTACGGCTGCAGGAGCTGATCGCCCCGTCAAGACGGCCAGGTGCACGACAATAAGACGCGAAATCGTTCCCCAACGGAGATACAGAACCCATTCGCCGCCACCCTTACAGACCTTTGCTGCGGCGCCACACGCTGGATAAAAAAACGGCAAAAGAAGAGCGAATATCAAGCCGCCCCACAGGGGGTTTGCGTCTCAGGAGGCTGCGCAAAGAGTCCGTGGACGACCATCGGAAGCCGCCTCGAACAAACCAAAATCCCTCCCACTCTCGCCGCCGATTTCGTTCCTCGAGGTTAAGTGTGCTGCTAGCGTACTGCCGACTATGCTGCGTTCTGCGCTGCGAGCGAGTCAACCTGCTGATACTCTTGGAATTCTGCCGTGTCCAATGCGCAAAATTCAAGGTTGCCGCACATTAACAAGCATCGAGCACGGCCGAGCCAGCTACTGTAGGTTTGGAAGCCGACGCAGTTCACGTAGTTTTGCACAGTGAAACAGGTGGTTACTAACCCACCAACGAACAATGTCTCATACGGGCACGAAGCGGATCGGCGATGGCAACGACATCTAATCATCATTGTCTGTCGACGCGGCCGACCTCCCGCCTACCTGATGTCCTGAAGACGCACCGACGCCGCATGCTCGAGCAACGCCGGAATCATGGCTGCTGGCGCCCCCTAAAAGGCCAACTGAAGGAGGTCAGCTGAGCAGCCCACCCGCCCGCGCGACCCCGTAAACTATAACTGGGCGGCCAAGCCGCGACCAACTGTGAAGACCACCTTGGCGATTTTCCCTGCCCCAGCGCACACACGTTCAGGTGCACTGATCCAGACTTCAGTAGCGCTTGCATGGTGGACAGATGCCTGTGATGCAATTTCCAACGAAAGCCAAAGCGGCGCCCTTGCACATTCAGGCGATGACAGGGACATACGCATCCGAACACGCTTCCGGGGCCGCCGCAACCCACCTGCTTTGGGGACAGAATCTTGTCCCAGAAACATGACCACAACGGTGAGAACGACCCTCAGCTTGGCCACACTGGGAAGCGTCCATCTGCAGCAGGGGCCCATCTCGGTCTTGGCCAAGGCACCCTGGGTACGCACCACTAAGACCTCATCAGCTGGAGCGTCCTTCGGGTCTGGGGAGAGGCCGCAAGTTTCTGAAGCGAGCGCAATAAATGGAGCCACAACTGGAGATCTCGCTGTCGCAATGTGTGGCCTGCGTGACCCTCTGGCTGAGATCGCCACCAGTTTCCAACTTCCAGCTGGGTCCGGTATACTTTCACAGCACAGACGCCTCAAATATTAGAAGCGACTGTGGTTTCCGCTGATACATGAATGAAACATCAAATTGCATATTCTCACGCTGATTCGAGAACTTCTCACTGGGGCGACTTTCTTTTATTGTACCTGCCAACAATCCTCATTGCTAAGGACCAAGCGCGACATGGTAACCATGACGTGTCAGATATTGCCCCCCCTCTTAACGCAGGGTGAAGACGGCTGGTGCAGCACGAACTCGGGCAGGGACACAGCGCCACGGTCAGGCGAGGGCGACCGACGATCACCACCTCGAGCAAGTTACGCGTCGCCGCCACAGCACCAAGGTAGCGGATTCAAACCTCCCTTGGAAGCTTCGCCATAATTCTTTGCAAAGCGCATTCCTCACTGGGCGGGAGGACCCATGATCGCCATCAGCGCGCCTGCCGCGCACGCCGCGCTCCCCGGGTCATCTTCAGAGGGAAAGCAAAGTTGCTGGCCACGGCCGTGGCTGAACGGCTACCCCGGATCTCAGGCTTGGTGGGTGCGCACCGGTAGGCGCGATCGTCTGCGCAGAAAGTCGAAGGTTCCTTGGCCGCTCCGGCGCGAGGTGCGAGGGATACGGGCGCTGCCAAATCTGCGCCACAGCTGCAGCTCTCTGGCATCTGCAACGGGGGATTGATGCCCGGACAAGTCGTAGCTCGACCCAGCAACACAGGCGCAGAGTGGCGTCTTTCGCAGAACTTGAGACGCAGCAGCTACTTATAAGTATCCATATGGGGGTGCTCCTGTGCTCACAAACCGGCTACGCGATACTCGCGTGACGGAGGCCTTTCCCGATATATGTTACGTCAGATAGGGCGCCAATTATCAAAAACAAACAGTCACGTTGTTCAAGCCTGCCGTGTTCGCTTACGCAAAGCGTATTCACGAAATCGACGCTTCTAGAAGTGGATTAAGTCCCAACCACACAAAGATGAAGCGCTGGGTTGCGTTGGCAGAATCCACGCTGGTTCAAACTTGGCAGTGCAGTGCAGTGGAGGCAGTGCAGTGCAGCCTGAATTGGAGAACGGGAAACTTGCAGTTATCGATAAAGCACGAGCCAGACATTCGCTCCGTGTTACAGGCATTCCTGAAACTTTCCGTTGCAAAATTTGCTGAAAGCACTCAGGGAAAGCCTCCGACGGAAAGCTAGCACAACACCGCAGTGACTTGGCGTTGTGTCGGGCATCCACGCTCGCTGTTGCCTCAGACCACTGATAAAATTGCACCAGCGGCCTTTTCGTGGCAAGCTCCCAGAACTCAGTGGCCACTGTCAAGTACGGTATTGTGCAACAGGCAGGCCTCCATGGACCGCGAGCCAGTAAACGTGGATTCCTCTGACAGGCCATGGCCATGGCCACCGTCTGTGTGCCAGGAGCAACTGAAGCGAGCTTCACGACCGGCCTATATCGACGCCGCCTTGCCCTATGGCTTTTCAGCGTTCCAGCATGCCCGAACTGAAGCACGGTGCACCATTGGGCGGCGTCGTTTTCGAATACAACGGACAGCACAAAGGGGCGGCACTCGTCTCGATCGCTCCATAAAGCCCCAGTACCGCCCTGGTTCAGACACAGCAACAGGCTGCGTCGAAGGCACTACTGCCGACCATAGGCGGCTGCACACTTGTCGGCCAGCACATCGGCCAGCTACTTGCATGGGCTCGCAGTTCCCACAGCACGAGAAAATGCACCACGGAAAATGGACAATGCACGAAACTAGAAGCAAGGCCACTCCTCGGGCGCGCCATTCTGTTCAACGGCCTCCAACAATGACCCGGAGTGAGGTTGGGGCGAGATCAGTCGGTGGCGCCACTGATCGGCCATAACAACTCGGCAGGAGCAGCTGCATTTTGGCTGCCAATGAGCCGTCGTCAGACCACTCAACGTACCTTTTCGGGTGGCGCCCTATGCAGCTCTGAGTGCAGGGGTCTGCTGTGCGCGCCAGCGACACCACTGTCGACAGTGGCAAAGGAAGTGGGGATAATCTGCCACACAAGGGCACAGCAGGGTCACGGCCGCGTTCGCTAAGGTTTGGGTAAACCTGCTTGACGCGCCCGTAGCACAACCCCCCGCAGCAATCGCGAACAACTGCTTACGCCACCATCCAAAGCCCTTCCGGGGCGCAGCAGGAGGCAGCATCATGATGACACGTGCGGAGTGTCACGTCCGTCTGTTTGCATGCGCTCATTCGCCCCCAAACGAACGCTCCATTGGTTGGGCTGTGAGCACGGCTTTGAGATCGAATTTCTCTATGACGCTCTAGTCCATTATCGAATGTATTTCTCAATTGCCGTGAGCACCGTTTGTGATGAAACCCCAAGGATGTGGGGCGCCACAAACAACTTGAAAGGAATCGCAGCAAGTACTCTTCCACAATACATAGTCGGCAACCAAGGCAGTCAGGAGTTGGTTCAAGCACTATACACAAAATACAGACAGAACAACAAATTGAAGTACAACATAGACAACACTGTATATTATGAACAACCCTTTGATCTGTCACGTGCAAATATCTTTGGTGCCAGTTTTCTTTGGAACTCCGAATTCCAAACGCATCAGCAGTGGCACATGTGCGCATCCAATCTGTTGGTTCAACAGGGCATGGAGCGCATTGACTTGGTCGCGGCGACATATTGCATTTGGGCCTGCTGGACTTCCAATTGGTCCCTTGAGCGCAAGTTTACTGCGCATTCACCAACGCCTCCATTCAGCCGAGGGCCACCTCGAGGGCACTAGCGACAGGGATGCGACATAACCATTATCCTGTGGTTACTCATTTGAGCCAAAGACTGAACATATTAGCAAATTCGCACATCCCAACCCACAGTCGTGCACGTGCGCAGTACGGGGCGCTCGAGGAGGCACAAACACGTTATGAATAATGCATAATGCCGGCCAACATCTGCCTGACTCATCCGCATTCGTGGTGCACAGCCCCGTCCAGCGTGAAGGCGAAGGCCACCAGGGAGCCGGTTGGACGCCGGCCGTGAGAGCCACAGCCCAGGCACGGAGCGCGCGAGCCATTTCAGTCCCTGCCACCCGAGGGATGCCTCGCCGTGCGCATGGGCAAGGGTTCGCCAATCGACGTCCGCCAGTTGCTTCAGCGGTCACACTGCGCAATGTTGATCCCGCAGCCGCCGTGGCCGGGCGGCGCCGCAAGGGGGGTGCCCGTGCAGTGGCCAGACTGCCGGCTGTCCGAGTCGGTGTCCGAACCGGCATTGCCACTGACCCCCAAGTGCCATTGGGTACTACTGGGGTACTGTGGGTATTGTACTGTGGGCTGGGACCCACAGGGTCCAAACAGGCGAGGGCAGGCAGGCATCCCGTCCACCACCACCGCCGCCACGGCTGGCGCCACCAGGAGGCATCCACACACGATGTGGATGCCACCACTGGAAGGGAATCTGCCACTGGGGGAACAGCACGCCAGCTACAGGGCACCTGGACGTGGGTGTCCACTCATCGTCCGAGGCATACACGGGTATGCAACAAACGTGTCGGGACAGCGCTAGGACCTCACCTGGCGGAGTGACGACGCGTCCCCCGGGCCGACTTCGAGCCCGCCGAGTCCGAATACTCCGATTGGCGTCGTTGGGGCTTCAGGCAAAGCTCCCTCAGCCTCCAACACTGCCCATTGGCGCCCACAGTGTTAGTAAGTGCCCTGGGCTCAGTAACCATGTCCGCCCCTCAGGCACATAGCGGTACAGGGAGCTGAAGGTTATGTACCACGCGGCACCAAAGTCTATGTGCCCTACCGCCCACATAGGACTTCGGTGGGACAGGCTAGGAACTCCCACATCATGCTCTGGTACTGCCGCCAGTCAGAAGCTTGCTGCAAGCAACTGGCCCCCAAGGCACGACGGACGCACCAAAGAGTAGGGTTGCGATGAGGTTGATTGTAGGCTCTGTCGCGGCGACATCAATGAGATCGACAGGAGACGTGATGGGGTTGGAGCTGGGGTGGTGGCTGTGGGGCATTGTCAAGCGTGGCGACGGGCTTTTGGGAGGAATGTTAGTTGCGAGAGGCAACCCGCTGGGCTGATTTGACCATAACCAGATGCGTTACATGATGAATGTACCAGTTAAGTATCCACTCCCCCTTCCCGTTTCACCATGTACATGTCACCATAACACTGTCGCCATGTTCACCATACCATGTTTCACCATAAATTTCCATATGTCACACAATCACTTGCAAATTCTTTTTTCACCCTCACAGCCAGCAAACGAATATAGTCTTAGGGACCCGATTTGTAGCAGTGGTAGAAATATCTCTACCGCCACGAATTAGTTCTTTCCAAAGTATGAATTTCGGTAGCTGGAGCTGGTGTTGGGTGGCTTGCGAATTTTTACTGGATGGTAAAAATTTCACAGATGAAAACAAATGGGACTTTTGCTGCTTCCAAACGGCTAGTAGTTTGCATGGAAGCTTGTTATTCTTTCACTGCTGTGCCTCATTCAAAATCTCCACTGAATGAAAGGACCATCCTATGTAGGTTTCCTTTGTCTGCGCAACCGGGATACCGTGACACATACACTAGAAAAAACAGGACAGATGACACAGTCCTGACAGAGTCTGCTCAACATCCAACCATGTACTTTTGGCAAATGTGGCTCCAAAAGTACACAGTTAGTACACACATTGACACAGTTTTAACCGTGCATCCTAGGAAACCGTGTAGTCTACACAGTTGTTTGAGGGTACACGATTGAAACTGTGTCAATGTGTGTATTGGCTGTGTACTTTGGGACCACATTTGCCGAAGTACA